CATGGGAAATCAAGAGAAAGTGTGATGACCATCTTGAAGATTTGGGTTTTAATTTCTGTCTTTCATTTTTCTAAAGACTGTACAGGTAAATCAATAAAGAAGATTAAGCTGTATTTGGTTGACATTATGAAAGATCTCTCTACTTTTCACCCAGCTTATTTAAAGATTTATTAAATCAGCCAAACACTTTTTTCTGTATTATGAGAAAGCTGTCTTTGCTTTGTGTTTTCACTTGCAGGGTTTTCGTCGATATGTTTAGGAACAAGAAGAGTACAGGGTACTGGAGATTCACAGCTGGTAGTTAAAGATGGACATATACATATTAGAGGGTTGGGGAATCTGATGGGCTAGTCAGGAGAGGGTTTTAGAAGTGACTTTGAAGCTTTCTGTATGTTCTCTCTCACTGTTGCCTATTCCATAAAAGGCCTTTAAGTGTGGTGTTTACCCAGCAAATATCCCAACGAATTGCTTTCGGCAGTCATGGGCACACTAGAATACTATCCAATCGGTAGTTCTGTAGTTTTCTCACAGAACTTCCAGGGGATATGGCATCTCTCTAGTCTTCGAGACCACCCCCAGGACAAGGCGCATTAAGGGCTGGAGAAGGGAAACTTGGGTGGTGGGAATGTTCTTTTCAAAATCTGGGTAAAAGCACCAGTGAGCTGAATAACTTCTCATCCCATTTCTCCACAGTTTTAAGCCTCTCTTAAGCGCCTCCAAGTCAGTGCTATCTGAGGCTTCAGATTCCTCAAGTTTCACTGGGGTCACCTGGAGGCCCCTGTCCTACCTTGGTTTCAAAATCTCAACTATTTTTAGGATTCACTCTTTCTTTCATTGTAACAACAAATATTTATTTAGCTCTCTGCCATGTACAGAACTCCACTTTCGGGTCACAGGAGACCGCAGAGCTGAATCTGACAGAGAATCTGACACAGATCTTTCCCTTCAGGATTCTGATTGGGAACCAAGACACCTATGGGCGATTCTTCAGTGTGAGAGAGACTGGGATACGCTAGCAGCTGTAGAGACACAGCCTAGTGGATTATAGGACCGAAGGCAGTTTATTTATTTATTTTTAATTAAATGTTAATTAAATGTTGCGGCCTGTGGGATCTTTAGTTGCGGCTTGCGGGCTCTTAGTTCCCTGACCAGGGATTGAACCCAGGCCCCCCACATTGGGAGCATGGAATCTTAACCACTGGATCTCCAGGGAAGTCCCCCAAAGGCAGTTTAGAATCAGTCTTCTACCAAAAAAAAAAAACCCCAAAAAGCCAGTTGCTGACACCAGACACTATACACATGTTATTGACTGAAATAAGGGATTAAGGAGAAGGCTACAGTCTTCTAACCCACTGAGAATGGGCTCATAATGGGACATTTCGTCAAATGACCAGTTCCTTTCTGCTCCAGATGTCAGTTGGGGGAATGACAAGGTAGCAGTTCTGGGAGAGTCCATGGTTCGTTTTACACTTGGTCAAGTTTCCCTGTGGAATTGTCATTGTTTCACGTTAAACTCTATATTCTTTGTTATGCCTTTTTTCTATTTAAAAGGCTTTGTCCACAGTAGGTGGCAAGGTACTCAAGTCCTTTTCACACCTGCTCTGCTATCCTTTGAGCAAACCCAGCTCACTGTGAGGGGCATAGGAAGGGAACATGTTGCCCACACTTACTGAGCGCACCCCGGAAACATTTTCTCATTAACTCCTCACAAACTTGGGGTAGGGGTTATCTTTCCAGATGAGTAAACTGAGGCTGATTAGTAACTGGGCACTCACTCCAGGCCTCTCTGGGCGAATCCAGTTCTCACACCAAGGTTTGTGAATGTTCTGTTCCCTCAGATTAAACTTTGGCTCTTAGAGAGAACCGCTCAGCTCAATTGCAGTTCTCCCTCCTCTCGTCACGTGAGTGTCTTTTTACCCCTAAATATATCCACTGGCATGTCCTAAAGCCATTCTCCTACGTAACCACAGTTCCACTATTAAAAACGGAAGAAAATTAACCAGCATATGTTCGTATCATCTCATTTCTGCTCTCTATTTCAGATTTCCCTGATGGTCTCATGTGTTTGATAACTATTTTTTTCCAACCTGGGTTTGCTTAAGGCTCACACATTGCATTTTGCTTTTATAACTCCGGAATTTCTCTTACTCTAGACCAACCTGCCTCCAATGCCTCCTGTTCAGCTCTTGTTTCGGGACACTGACTTTTAGAGGGACCAGACCAGTTTTCTTATAACCTTTTGGTTGACACTTTACCTGGCAAGTGTCTTGCAAATTGAAGATTTTAAAAGTTCTTTAAACCTAAAATAGGTATTTTCTAGGAGATGTGTTGCCAGATGTTGCACCTGATACTTTCTGTAGCTAATATATTTTAAAAGAATCTTTATTTACAAAAATAAGGCAATTGTAAAATGTTAGAACAATTCAGAAATACAGTTGGCCCTTTGTATCCACAGGTTCTGCATCTGCGCATTCAACCAACCTTGGACTGAAAATTTTTTTTAAAACAAAATTCCACAAAGTTCCAAAAAGCAAAACTTGAATTTGCCAAGCTGGCCAGCTATTAAATAGCATTTACATTGTATTAGGTATTATAAATAATCTAGAGATGAATTAAAGTATACGAGATAGGTTCTTTGCAAACACTGTGCCATTTTATATGAGAGACATGAGCATCCTCGAATTTTGGTATCTGCTGGGATCCTGGAACCAATCCCCCTGCGGATACAGAGGGATGACTATGTATGAAATATAAAATAAGAGTTCCGTTTGATACCATCACCATGTAGCCCTGAGATAACAGTCATTTTGGTGAAGTTATATATTTTTTCCCATTTATTTATTTATTATAAAAACTGATCATCTGTACACATTGTTGTGCAGTTTACTTTTTATCTCACTAACTGCATTGTGGATTGTGTCATGTCAAATATATAGCTGAGATTGTGTTTAGTGGTGCCTGGGATAAAAGTGCACCAAGCCAGCCACATTCCTTCCTAGGTGTTCAAGGCGAGACACACCCGAATGTAAAGTGCCCGGCCCAGGATGAGAAATGTGACTTGTGCCCACAGAGCAAATATTTTTCTCTCTTTGAGGCTCTCTAGCTAATATAGGAGTTGAATCTTGGTGTCTTCTACCCTGTGTTTTAGCAAGTTGATGGAATGTGGGAGTAGTAAACTCTTAAGGACTCTGTATTTAAATTCTGATACTCTTTTGTTTTTCTTTTCTGGGTGGGTCCCTCCATAGTTTTTTCTGCAGATACCAGGAGATCATCAGGTTGGCCTACCTTGCAGGTAAACATGATACTCTGCCAACATAAAGTGATTTAGAAATGTTAATCTATTTTACCAAGCCCAAGTCTCTAGCATATGTATTTTAAGCCATCATAAAACACGTACCTGTCACGCTAAGGAATGTGCCGAGGGCAGGCATCAAAGAATGGCTGAGGGAGTCTCAGGAGTGTGTTTTACTGTGTTGTAGGGTTGTGTCCTGACAACCTCTGTGAGGCCGGGGGGTACTGACGAGGAGTGATTTCTAAATATTGAAGCCATTTAACTTATGAATGCAAGAATTCCTACAAGTAATTATTCCCGTTTGTCTATCCAAGTGTCAGGGCGCTCAGAGGTAATTCTGTGGATAAAGGGCATAAAGGCTGCCTGACTTAGGGAATCAAATTAACAGAACAATCATATGAGCGAGAGATAGTCCTTTGCACTTCATGGAGAACAGAAAGTTGAACAGAGAGACCGTGTGGACATTTCTGGCTTCTTTGGAAGATAAGTTTAACGAGCCTCCCAGTGAGAGAATTGCTGGCACAGGGCGGAATGGTAAAGCCGCTTTTACTGTTGTTATTTTGTTCTCGTGTTGTCCATGGCAGTAATGTCATCGCTGCCATTTGGTGGGACATCCGGGTGTCAGAATCTTGTTATTAGTAAGTTAAATTATCTGTAATTTGGTGATGGGCTTTTGCATCAAGAATTCTGTAAAGGAACAAAATGATTGTAGGGTGGTTCCCCACATCTGTCTAAATATCTGGTGAAAAAAGGATAGAGTTGTGATTTTAGGTGCATTAAAAATTTCATGTATTAATTTTTTTGAAAAAAGAAAGTTGCTGAGTAGTTCATCATTAATTACTAATTTATAATTAGTTAATAATTAAATGCATATTCACTCCATTTTCTATCATCCAGTAATAAAGTAAATAAGAAAATAAGTATAAATATTAAAATAAGGGCTTCCCTGGTGGCGCAGTGGTTGGGAGTCCGCCTGCCGATGCGGGGGACGTGCCCCGGTCCGGGAAGATCCCACATGCCGCGGAGCGGCTGGGCCCGTGAGCCATGGCCGCTGGGCCTGCGCGTCCGGAGCCTGTGCTCCGCAGCGGGAGAGGCCGCAACAGTGAGAGGCCCGCGTATCGCAAAAAAGAAAAAAATTAAAATAAACGGAAATAATGTTAATGGAAGTAAAGAGGCAGTGTTACAAAGAGTGAGGAATAAGATAAGATTTTAAGTTCAGGATCAGGGAATCGCTTAAATCATTGAACCCCACTTTTTTCATCTCTAGAATAGGGATCGTACAGTCGACACCCAGAGGGTTGTTAATGAGGCTGAAATGAGATAATACATTTAGAAATTTAAAAAAAAAGTTCAAATTCTACTCCTGCTTTCTTGAGCAGACAGGCTTGTACGATGAAAAAAAGCATGTGAATCGAAGTCACATAGACACTGGTGTGAAGGCAGGCTTTGCCATGTGCATTCTTAGATGAGTTCTTTTAATCGCTCTGAGCGTCAGTTACTCTAGCCATGAAGTGGATCTTATCATATCACCCTTGTAAGGTAAGGTCAAGTGCACGGGTTTGACCAAGGCGCTTGGGAGCAACAGAGTCTGCTGGCTCTTGAATCTGGGCATTCATCTGTCAGGGGCATATGCTTGTGTGTGTGGAATATGTGCCGCCTGGAGCTTCCCTTCCAGGTGATGACCTTGCTTCTGCTTTTCTGTCTGCAGCGACCCTCCAGAGCGCCACGCCGGGCATGGACGCCTTTTTCCGCACTTGGAGGAACACGGGTGCTAGTGTCATCGCCCAGTCACAAAGCTGCTAAGGCCATCTCAGGGGCGTGGGCGTCAGGACAGGAGGGCAGCATCCGAGGGCCACAGAGCCATGCCTTTCGGCCTGAAGCTCCGCCGGACCCGGCGCTACAACGTCCTGAGCAAGAACTGCTTTGTCACCCGCATCCGCCTGTTGGACAGCAACGTTATCGAGTGCACGCTGTCTGTGGAGAGCACGGGGCAGGAGTGCCTGGAGGCGGTGGCCCAGAGGCTGGAGCTGCGGGAGGTAAGGGTGCAAGCGTGGTGGGTGGATGCGCCGGAGCTCAACCCCAGGGACCAGCCGCCTTCTCTTGGCGCCTGCCAGGCTTTTCAGCCTCAGCCTGGTTTCGAAGCATCCTGTTATTCTTAGCATGGCCTAGATCTTAACACCTTTCAGTGGGTGCAGACACCTGCTCTGATGTGAGAAGCAGGGACACCCCGTAGAGTTTGCACGGGGCACGGGCTGGGGGTGGCAGCACCCCTTTGCTTTCAGCCCATGAGGAGGTTGTAATGAGACTCTCCTCCCCAAAGCCATTTACTCTCTTTAAAAACAATCAAGTGGGTAACTGGGGTTTTGGCATTCCGGCTGCATATCAAGGAGAAAACCACATAAGCGGTGGATGTAGCTGCTTTTTTGTTTGTTTCCATATTTTCCTCTTCAAAGAGGGAAAAGAGGGAAAAAAAGAAAGAGCATTTAAAGTGAGCATGACCAGCGAGGCTTTTTTTGTGGGAGCTTGTAAAATGGGGGTTTTGTTCCTTTGAAGATTCCTCATGACCTTGTTTTCTTTGGGCTTTAAGCAAACCCAGGGTTCACCATTAAGACAGTCACGTTATCTCTCTTTAGAAGAGATTCTTAGAGCAATGTGCCCTTTGTAACCAGCAAGCCCTGCTTTTTTTTTTTCAGTCTTACAGACATTTAGGACAAGGGACTTTTGAGAGAAACCCCCTCAAGCATTTGTGTCTTGGGAGCATATCGCATGTGGCGTATGGGCTGGTAGGTAAGGGGGTGTGGTTGAAAGGTTGCCAGTGCTGAAATGACGGCAGACCCCTGAGAGTCAAGCCTTCCCGAGGGCAAGGAAGAGCTCTGTGATTGTCCTGGGCCCTGTGACACCATTGCCCAGTTCTCAGGGTGATGCAGAAGAGGGGAGCGGTCCCTATTGAAAGTGATCTTATTTGACCTCTTTGCTCACCTCTCAGGAGCCACCCTCCGTCCATTTGCACAAAGGAGTTGGGGGTCAAGGAAGGTCTTCCTCTCCGCTTGGCATCTTCCACAGGCTGCCTCTTATCCTCTGGGGGACTGTTTCACCTGAGCACTTTTGTTTCCTACTGGTCTTCGTGTTTATACTTTGGTTTCAGTGTTCAGGCCTTCCTTTGACATTTATCTTCCTGCAGAGGAGACTGTCCTGCCCAACAGGTATATGTAGCTTGGTAGCTGGCACAATAAACATGTGAAATGTTCTGACCTTGCTGGTTGATAGTTGGCTCTTTTTTTGCTTCTTGGTACACATACTTAAACATATGTGTGTGTATCGGCATAAAGGAAAAACCTTAATGCTGTCGTCAGTTGGTCAAGAGGCTGGTCTAAATTCTCATAAAAATTTTCATTATAGATCATTTGAAAATATATGCAGTGGTTTTACTTTTGAATATTCCCAGTAACTTAAATGAGAACAACTAAATATTCTTTGCATGCATTAGAAGCAGTATAGTATGTGGTTAAGTACTTATAAGTGCAGGCTTTGGAGTCTTAAACTTGAGTCAAGTTATGGTTCTGTCACTTACTAGGTAACCTTGGAAAAGTTATTGAACTTCTCTGGAAATCAGTTTTCTCAGCAATAAAACGGGAATAGTGATACTCACCTCACTTACCTTACAGGGCTGTTGTAAATATTAGAAGAGATATAGTATGGCAAATGCATAGGGCTGTGTCTAATAATGTATAATTGTTCCAATTTGAGAGTTTTGAAAAACATTTTTTCGTTAAAGAAAATACTGAACAACTGCAATGCTCCAGACACTGTTTTGGGACTTGGTGAAACTAAGATAAATAAGTTGTAATTTTTCCTTCAAGGTATGCACAGACTAATAGAGGAATCCAGCATGTAAAAACCAGCTAAGACTGAATGTGATCCACACTAAATGCAATGCAGGGGCTGGCCTGAAAGGCAGTGGCTCTCCTTAGAGTTGTGCAGTGCACGGCCTGCTCCACTGAACACCGCAGCCCTAGCTAGGGGAGAGGAAGCCTCAGTGAAATATGAACAGAGCCCTCGCATTTTGAACAGGGACTTGAAGGATGCCCAGGAGTTCAGTAGGTGGAAAAGAAGGCAGGTCATTCTGGGCATGGGGAGAAGGCATCTCTGTGAATCACCAGGTAAAGCCAGAGTGTAAGGTGCATAGTGAGGGGTGTCTGGAGATGTGTATGATAATAATAATTAAGTTCCAGCAGAGTATTGTTTCTCTCAGTGAGAGGGCAAAGGTCAACCCTGGATTATCCCACAACTGGGTCGTCACAAAGGACAAAGCAGTGAAGTCCAGATTCTACCGTCAACGTGTGTTGCAGGGTGATTGATCTTCTAATGTTAAGATGGGGTTTGCGTTTAATGTTGGCTTTATTTTGACATGCTCTAAACAGGTGCATGCACATTAGAACAAATCACTTTCTTTTTTGGTTTTATGCTTTCATTCTGTGGCAGATCACATTGAAGGTATTGGCCTTTTGTGAAACAGTCCTATAGAAAGTCCTCTTGAATTGAAGGATGAGATAGAGCAATGTAATACTTTGTTCTTCATTTGCCCAGACACACCTCAAGGAGGAATGCATGCCCCACCCAAGAGCAGAGGGGAGGGTGTGAACACAGGGTCTGCCACACTCACTTGACTTTGTATGTGGGTCATTTTTCAAATAGGGCTGATGGTGCTTTAGAGAAGAAAGAAAAAATTCATCTAAGATACAATGAATTGTTTAGTCTTTATGAAGTTTTGGAAAGTAGAGTGTGGTGAATATTTGGCTTTGCCATTAGAAGTGTTCTGTAGTTTAGGTGTACCCTAAACTTGACGGTAGATTTATATTAGGAAAGGAAAATTAATTTTGATTTAATTTTTGATCTACGTTAATTACAATTTATGTTTTATTAGATAACTTAAAAATAGATTGTAGGGAATCCCCTGGCAGTCCAGTGCTTAGGACTCCATGCTTCCATTGCAGGACACAGGCTCCATCCCTGGTTGGGGAACTAAGATCCCATAAGCTGCACGGTGCGGCCAAAAAAAAAAAAAAAAAATTGTATTTTTTGAGGCAGTTTTAGGTTTATAGCAAAACTGAGTGGAAAGCACAGAGAGTCCCTTATACCTCCTGTCACCTCCCCACCAGGCACCCCCACTGTCGACACCCCGCACCAGAGTGGTCCATTTGTACAGTCAATGAACCCACATTAACACATCATATGCTCAAAGTCCATAGTGTAGGTTAGGGTCCACTCTTGGTGGTGTACATTTTGTGGATTTTGACAAACGTATAATGACGTGTGTCCATATGGTAAACTCTTTTTTTAATGTAATAAACTGATTTCTTAAACAAATGTTATATGCAAACATTAATTGAAAAGTATACATGTTTCAGCGTTAAACACATATTCCTCTACCAACAAAATGAAATGTCACCCTGAGTCACCTTGGGTCACCAGAGGTCTCAGTTGACTCTCTGCTAGTATTTGACCGTGTCCTGTATGACTTTATCCTCCTGTTACTGAATGCAGGTTCATGTGCTCGATGCACAGTGAGGCCAAACAAACCGAAACGTCCGAGTTTGGAGCAAAGAAAGGTTTATTGCCAGGGCCAAGCAAAGGGAACAGGTGGCTCGTGCTCAGAAATCCCTGAACTGATATGCTAAACGTTTTCAGGGTCAAATTTGGTTTTGAATGCACAGCTGTGCTGCCATTTCGTATGGCATCCAGAGTGCCCAGGCCTGGCTTAGTTAGCAGACACAGTCATCCCCTGGGGAAGCAGAATATGACAGGGTCCCTGCTCCCAGAAACCCTGGAGTTGCGAGAATAGGAAAAACAAGAAACAAAACAAAGAGAATAGCCTGTGCCGAGGTACAGAAACAGGAAAGAACATGGAATTTTCAGGGAAGGGCAGAGTGCAGTTTGCACAGATCTGTGTGTGTGTGTGTGTGTGTGTGTGTGTGTAGGGGTCATGGAGGGGAGGATAGGAGTGTGGGTAGGTAGGTGGAGTCTGCTTTTGAAGGGTTTGATGTACCTGGCTAAGGAGTTTTAACTAGATCCAGTAGAACATTGTTTCTAAAATGTGTCACAAAAATAATTAAAATAATCACCACCTTTTAATGTACCACATGTTGTGCTGAGCGCCTTTCATAGATCATCTCATTTAATTTTTCTAACAAGTCTGTCAGGTGGCTACTCTTGCTGTCCCCACTTTATGGATGGGGAGACCACAGTGTAGTCACTGGACTGGCTCCAATTCAGGTAGACTGACTCCACCATTCTAATTCCCAGGGATGTGTAGTGGCAGAGAAAGGGGATGTGGTAAGATGCTTTGGGAAACACTCTCATAAGTTCTGCAGTTAAAAAAATAAATGTGTTGAGCTCAGTGTTTCACAATTAATTTAGCCTTCTAGTAAATACTCTTCGAATCGTTTGGGTAATAAAACACTGCCTGGAGATGGAAAGCCATAAAAAGATTTCAAGGTGAAGCATGACATGATCACCTTGAGTTTTAAGAAAAGAACCAAATAGCCGAAAAACAATGGGGATTGGGTGACAGGAGGAACAGAGATGCTAATTAGGTGGGCATAACAATAACCTGGCAAGAGGAAATAACGTGAACCCTTTAAGAAAAAAATTTTTTAATTGTTTTAAATAAGTTCGGGAAAAAAATTAGGTATGAGTTTCTGGCTGGGAACTCTATTTAAAGGAAGAGGCTCGGGAGATACAGGAGGCTCAGAAAATTAGAATTCTGATAATATAGTTACAATATGTTTGGATCAATGGATTTCCTCTTCCCCAAATGAAATCTTAGGTGGAACTTCAGTATGTAAAATGGAGCTGCTCTGTTTGCTGAGGGGGTGGATAGGGTATCTGGAGCCCCATCTCCTTGTGCCCTTCCCACACACGCCCCAACATGGCTTGAAAAATCATTGCCCTAGATTACGAGAGAAATAGCTAAAACAATGTTGCCTTATGACTAACCTTATCTTTGAAAAATAAATACATGGAGAAACAGCAGAGT